TGACACACCTGAAGCCCTGCCCCTCTGCATTAGTCAGGGTTCTCCAGAGAAACAAAATGAATAAGATGGACCAAAACCAATACATATATACGGAAAAAGAGAGAGAGATTGAGAGAGACAGAGAGAAGAGAGAGAGATTTATTTTAAAGGATTGGCTCACACAGTTATGGAGGCTGGCAAACCTGCAATCTGTAGGGTGGACCAGCAGGCTGGAGACCCAGGGAGGAGCCAGTGTTGCAGTTGAAGTCTGAAGGCTGTCTCCTGGCAGAAGTCCTTCTTGCTCAAGGGAAGTCAGGCCCTTGTTCTACTGAGGACTTCAACTGATTGGATGAGGTCTACTCATATTATGGACAGCACCTGCTTTACTCAAAGCTCACTGACTTAAATGTTAATCTCATCTAAAGATATTCTCGCAGAAACATTCAGAGTAATGTTTGACCAAATATCTAGGCATCATGGCCCAATCAAGTTGGCACATAAAATTAACCTAACCACACTCCCTAATCATAACTGGTAGGAGCCCATATGTGAGAAATCTGAATCTTTTCCTTCCTTCTCACCTCCAGGGCCCCCAGAGAACCATCTTTCAAGGGTTGGTGCTGTGTGTGGCTCAGCCTGACTGTTGACATCCTCAGTTCTCAATCTTGCCTCTTGCTTCATTTGGCCATCCCTTAGGCAGCTGCACAGCCAGAGAGTGCCCTCAGCTACAGAACTCAGAGGCCCTCAGCTTGTCGTTTCAGTACAGCTCTGGGGTAGCTGGAAATGACTGCCTCCCAAAGCAATCCATCATGCATGTGGCACAATTGCCCCAGTGGCAATAACCCTGCTGACAGAATGAGCAGCGATCTCACTCACAAATCAGTCGACAGGCTTGGCTTTCATAAGCAGACCACGATTCAATAAGAAAAGGCATCTCAGGCGTTAGATTGCTTAACATCTGCCTCAGCATGCCTGCTTTTATTATTACTGTATTTTAATAATGCTGCATATTCTTAAAAATGTGCAGGTATATTTTACCTAATAAGATCTCTGTTATAAATAGCTGTGTTGCCTCAGCTTTGCTGTAATGTTCACACAAGACAAACTCTCACAAACTTTAGAATTGCAGGAGACACAGCTATATTCAATGTCACCATGCAGTAGAGGGTTAACTCAGCAGACACTAGTTTCTCAGATGCTTTACATTCCAAAGGAAGGCCGTTCTTCAGAAGGACTGGCCCTTGACTGGCTCCTTGGTGACAACCTCTGAGCCTCGCAGTGTACATCTGAGGCTCTGGTCCACGCTGAATCAGTTTGGCCTTTGGGGGACTGGAGACCGTGTGACTGAGATCAGTCAGAGTCCTACGTCACTGATCCCCAGTAAAAACCCTGGACACCAAGGCTCAGGTGAGATTCCCTGGTTGACAATACTTCACATGTGTTGTCACACATTGCTGCTGGGAGAATTAAGCATGTCAACTCCATTGGGAGGGGACACCTGGAATCTCACACCTGGTTTCTCCTGGATTTTGCCCACAGGCCTTTTCTTTTTGTTGATCTGTATCCTTTCACTGTAACAAACCATAACCGTGAGTATAACAGCTTTTCTGAATCCTATGAGTCCTTCTAGTGAATTATTGAGCCTAAGGGTGGTCTTGGGGACCCCCAACATAGTCACTTGGCTGAGGGTACCATGGTGGGGAGCAGAGGTAGAAAGGGAACTTTTGGGAATGTTAAGAAGAGCATGTTAATAAGGCAAGGGCTGGAACTGGATCTTGGAGTACTCACCAGGAACCTTGAAGGTCTCTTACTTGCACCTCAGAGGTTTTATATATTTTTCCCATTGATCTACCCAAACCATAAAAAGCCACTGGGGCAGGTCCTTCTTCTGCCTCTTTATGCCTCACAGGGCCTAGTGCAGTGCCCTGCAATGCAGATGGTACCCTGCCCAGATCCCTTTCAGCAGTGAATGTGCCCATTGTTCAGCTGCTGTGGGTTTTGGTTGCTAAGTGGCTCACAGCCACTCCTAGGAGAACTGCCTTCGGCCAAATGGGTTCTGCTCCCCTGCCCCAACCCCCACAGCCAGAACCAATGGCTGACTGACATGGGGGCACAAAAGGCTGTCCTCTTTTCCTCCAGGTGGGACCAACTCCTCAGTGCAATTCATGCCCCAGAGCATTCTGTGGGATCAGGCTGAAACTGGTCTCCACTCAGACCATGTGCTTGCTGAGCATCCTTCCTCAGCCCTAACTGCTTCCTGTACTCTTCCTCTTCTTAGGGCATTCCCTCAATCAACACTTTTTCAAGAATCTCCATCTCAGGGACTGATTTGAGGGAACCAAGTCAAGAGTGATGAACACGCTTTCATAGCCTTTGGGACCCCCAAGACCATATTTTAAAACAATGGCAGTGGACTTAACTAACTCAGCATGGCTCACGGTGTCCTTGTTTGTGCAAAGGAATTTCTCAGTCACTTAAAGCTCTATCTTAGTATTGAGTCTATGAATTAGAGTGGAGAAAATATAAACCTTTTTGGTCCACTTGTTAGCAGCTCTGGGAGACAGAGGGTGAAACAATTGTTGAAGAGGAGGTTTTGTTCTTAGTCACAAACCTGTCATTTGTGTGCTTCCTCTATCCCACAACAGAACCTATTTGCTCCACATCTGTCAACTAATCTTGACCGCAGGGCTGGGCTGGGTAGGCACCCTGAAGGGCCAATCTGATGCACCGTGAGGACCCTGAGTCTGGCATCCTTCTAATGCTGAGATGGCTCTTCCTGGTTTCAGAGTGGAAACAGAGCCAATATTACTAATGGGACTGAATGACCCAGAGCTCAGCTGAGCTGCCCGGCCAGAGCACCGTGCCGAGGAGACTGGAGCCACGGGATCAGTCCTCTGGTGGATTGGGTTCTGTTTCCTGACTGTGGATTGTACTCAGAACCCTGCCACATTGTCATGTCCATGCGTGCCACTGGGTGCTAAAAGGTGTCAAGGCATAGAAGTGTTAATGCACCAGTTAATTAAGAATGTGCAGAGCAAGAAAGAGACATCAGTTGAGACTAATTAACTTGAACTCCGAGATCTTGAATGTCAAAATCTGGAAGGGTTTTAGTGGTCTTAGTGAAATTCTCAGTGTAAAAGAAAGCAATTCAAGTCTCAAGGATAAAAACGGTCCTAAGCACAGGCAAGAACACAGCTCTTGCTCTCAAGCCACAGGCCCACCAGTTGGTTCTGACACAAAGACCCCCATTGGTTTGATACCTGAACTTCTCAACAGTGATAGGGATTGCTGATGCCAGAGTTGGATTAGTGAGACTATTGGCGGGGACACTGATGGTGAGCTTGGGATGTTCCAGGGATTAAAGGAAAAGCCATGGGCTGCTTAGGTAGCAACTCAACTTAGTACCTCCAGCTACTTTCACCTCTGCTTACTGGAGCTTTAGCTGAGGCTTCCTGCCCTGTGGCCAATTTAATCCTTGTAGGGAGGGAGGAAGGGTTGACAAAACCAAAGGTATTGCCAACACTAGCAAGCATACTCTACGTGGGTCCTGGAGCCTCTTCATGTTATTCTATTGTTGACACCTGTGGGTGTTGTAGGCGCTCTACCGACATCCCTTTGCCCTCGCCTTTGTGCGTGCCAGCCCAACTCCTATCTGCCAACACCTGTGTCCTTTTGCCTGTGGGCTTTCTCTGGGCACTGGAGCCTGTTCTGCCCCAGGACACGCCCAAAGGTGGTGGGGAAGTAGCAGCCCAGGAGAGTATCATCAGCCAAGGAGTGGCTGGGTGGGAAGGCCCTGAGGTGGATGTTCCTTCTGCCTAATGGAGCTCCCCGCCAGGATTAAGCTGCCATTGCCCACAGCGCTGACTTTTATCCTTTGCTGGCTTCCTTCCTTTCCCCATCACTTCCCCATTGCTCTCCGTGTCTCCTGAGGTCCTTCCTCCTAGGCCCAAATTACTTGCACTTGATTCTTTGTCTCAGGTTTGCTTCTGAAGGAAACTAAGCCAGTGCCCCATCCTACTTTCCTTACTGCATAGATGAGGCCCTGAGTCAGGCAGAAGCTGCCTGGAGGTGCAGCTTCTAAGGCCAGTCTGCAGAGAACTGGAGAATTGTTTGGTGTGGAAAACTTGCATTTAGCGTCAGAAGTGTTGTGAGTAGAAACACAGGATCACAGGTGACAGGATCAGACAACACACAAGTGCATGAGGAGAGCCGCCTTCTTTCCTCCTCTTAGTTCTTTCCTTTTGCTGCTGTTTGCTGTTGGGGCTTCTGAACTTCCTCCACCTCAAACCTTATTTCCTATATTCTAGCAGCCTAAGCCTCAAATTGGGCCTCAAGGCTTCTCCAATCTAAGGTTTCAACCAGGACTCTGCCACAGCTCTGGACCACTCTCTTTACTCCCGTCGCCTGGCAGGGAGATAGTCACTCTCAGCCGACACTTTGGTGAGAACCCCATAATTGGCTTAAGAGGGTGCTTCTCTTGGCTCAAATGCATTGCAACAGTAGAAAGTTCTTTTAATTAAAGGGCCTTTCAGGAAAGCCAAAATAAACAGAAACAAATTTTAAAACCCCTCTCTATTGTCTATGTTTACATTTGTTGAAAAATGAAGTTCGGGCTAATGCTTTGACGCAGGTATTACAAAGCGGTGGGCTTCAGCTGGGTGGGCTCTCAGGCATCTGGGAGGTGTGGCTCTGTGGGTATTTTTTGGGGTTGGCTCCCCAAAATCCCATGATGCTGGCACCTTTTGTGACTGGAAGGAATCAGCCTTGGTCAGAAGATTCAGAGTTTTGGCTCCAAGACATGGTCTGAAATCTACAACACAGACACCAGGCCTGACCCAGGAGATTCTGGAATCACTTCCCTGATTTCCAACCTGTGGAGATTCTCCTCTCCCCTCCAACTGCAACGCCTCAAAACACTGGCCTTCAGGGGTGCAGGGAGAAGCCAGTCAGGCTCCGATGAATCAATCACTGCCAAGACAGACTCCGATAATACATAAATGAATGAAACAATACTTAATAAGTGAGTCTGTGTTCCAATAAAACTTTATTTGGCCCGTCCTGATCAAGTTTAATAATGTTTAATAGATCTTTTTAAAACATGAGTAGTAATAACAATTCCTCTGTAATAACAATTATAAATGAACTCCTAGTCAAGGTCAGCAGCTTGTTCCTTTACCAAAAACGTAAAGCCGCCCTCTGAGGACAAATGGCACATGAGGAGCGGTGTACATTTCCTCTTCTTTAAAAAAAAAAAAAGAAAGAAAAAACCAAAACACTTCATATTTACATATTTTCCATTTAAAAATTGGTCAGTGTGATTAATTCTGTTTTTAAATATAAGTTTCTAACATGTAGCAGGTTTCAATGTACAAATCCTAGTTAGCTGATTAGATTTAAGGTGCTGTTGAGGTGAGGGTGACCACAGCCCAAGACCAACACTGGGGACAACTCTGCTTACAGATTGGCTAGACTTCCTGTGGGTATCTTTGGGGATGGGGAGCTGAACGCCAGTGATGGAAATGGCAGGGCATTCCAGGGGATGGACTATGCTTCTGCAGAGCCCCTGCTGGGCCACACACCATCACCCCAGGTTCTGTGTGCCAGCACACCTCTGGGTTTGCATGCTCCAAACTCATCCTAGCCTAAGCGATGAGGGGCATGGTGGCTTGGAGTCCCTTCCTTTGTCATGGGGTCCCCATGCTGGTGCCTGACCCCTGAGGGCCCTCGCTGTTGGCATCCCACCTTTCATACCGTCCTATCTTTCTGGATTCCTGCCCCCAAGGCCACTTGCTCTCCAGTGCATTTCTTTAGGGGCTGCTCTTTGCCAAGGCTAAAAGGGCAATCAAAATCAAGGGTGGTATTAATGAAGCCTGATAGGTCTCATGTGAAATCTTCTCTCCTAACACAGTTTCTCTATGGCGGGCACCTCATTGTTTTTGTCCTCATGCCGAGAACATGAGTTCCCAGTGTTGGGTTGGAAAGGAGCTGTGTATACGTGCATGGGGGAGTGGGGTGCAGGCTGGAGGGAGTCTTGGAATAGCTGTCTTCAAACTCACCCATGTATGATGTCCCCTCAGGAAGTAGGGCTGTGTCTTTGTGTCTGCGCACATTTCTGGAAAGTGCATAGGGAGTTCTGGAGGAGGTGTGTGCACAGGCCCAAGAGAATGAGTCATTTTACCCACAGACCCCAAACTGGTCTGGTCTGAAATAAAGATTTCAGACCATGCAGGGGTGAGGCAAATACAGGGGTGTGGCAGATGGGAATTTTTAAGGACCTGAAGAGCCAGAAAAAGTATGCTTGGTGACTAGGGTAAAACTGGCTCAGTTTCCAATTTTGGAATACAAGAAACATTGCTCTGAATAAAAGAATATAGAATGGGTTAGATGGTAATGGACAGGGAAGAAACACCTTGGACCATGTTTTCTGATTGAAAAGCCAGAGTGACCCCAGCGGAGGAAGACATTATGTAGTGGACAGACACTGGCCTGGGGGCAGGAGACTGGGATTCAAGGCTTTCTGGGACACTGACTAGGCCCTGACCTTAGGTCACTTGCTTCTCCGGGGCTCTCTGTGCTTCCTCACCTGTCGGTTGAGGCCAGTTGGGTGAGATGGTTTCAACACTGTGCCTGCAAGGTTCCTCTGCACCCAGCCACCCAGGCAGGGCCTGCAGACACTGCTGCCGAAGACATGTTTCTTCCCTGCACACCACCACTTATAAAAAGCCAGGGCCTCCTCTGCACTGGGAGAGCAGTCAGCCCCCAATCTAGGCTCCTGTTCAAACCCGCTCCCAGAGGTTAAAGGCTAGTTATTAAGGCAGTTTAAGAAATGGACATTCCTCTCACTCCTCGGATCCTTCCTGTGTTCTGCTAACCTCAAGGCAGCAGAGAGGCGTGGAAGGGGTGGTGGAGGTGCCAGGGAGGTGGCCCCCTCCTGCCAGGCCCAGGCTGTCCCGGGTGGGGCCTCCTGCTTGGGGGCCTGGGGCGCCACCTCCGCCCTCACCACCTTTCTTTGGAGAAGGCCTCGGTCTGCACGAGATCCCCAGGATGCTCGGAGATGCACGCGCCGTTGAGGTCGCCCAGTTTATTGTCCGGCAGGTCCTCGGGCTTGGTGCAGAGCTTGAGGGCGCGGGAGATGAACACATCCAGGTCGAACTGGGGGCTGGCGCCCCCGTCTATGGGGCCCGGGCGGCCGGGCGGAGAGGCAGACAGGCGGCGCTCGGGGCCCTCGCGGGGCGGGCTGGAGTGCTCAGGGCCGCCCTGCGTGCTCTTGACCCACTGCGCGATCTCCAGGAAGAGGCTGGCAGGCTCATCCTCGCGAGCCCCGGGATCCGCGGCCACCGCGGCGGTGGGGGGCGCACCGGCCGCCTGCTTCCAGTGCGACAGGTCCAGGATGAGCTTGGGCTCCGAGTAGTGGTGCGGCTTGTTGTCGCGCCACAGCAGCTTGTCCAGGTAGGACGGCGACCCCACCTTGTAGTCGCAGGAGTGCCCGTAGTCGGCCTCGAAGGCGCGCTCCATGGACGAATGCGACTGCTCCAGGAAGCGCTCGGAGCTGCTCTGCGAGTCCTTGCGCGGGTCCACCTGCACGTCCTCCGCCAGCGGCGCCGAGCCCGCGCGTGGGTCGCGCTGCACCTCGCTCGCGTCCTGGCACCGGTCGGGCCGCCACTCCAGGTCCGACGACAAGCTCACAGGGTACCTGCAAGGGTCAGATGGAACGGTGATCGGACCCCCCCAGGAGGGGTGGCATCGCGGAGGGAGCCAAACCCCCTAATCCCTGTCTGCCACCCACAGGCCGGCTTTTCATTCCTTCCCAGTCCCTCCAGCTCCTGTCCCCTTCCACTCCCAAGGTGGGAGGGTGATGCGACAAGGTAATGGTGAGCCTTGAGGGCTCAGGTAGAGGGACCAAGTGTTTAGCTTAACTCTGTGTTCTTTTATATTCATTCAATCCCCTACAAGTATTTCCTGAGCACCTATGTGCCAGGCATTGTTTTAGGCATTACCAGACACAGTAGTGAAAAAAACAACAAACCCCCTGTCCTCACGGAACGTTCTTTCTAGCTGATCCACTATGCAGTGCTCCTTAAACTCTGATATGCACACAAATTGCCTGGGGACCTTGTTAAAATGCAGATCCTGATCCAAGAGATGGGAGATGGGGCCTGAGATTCTGTATTTCTATTAGGCTCCCAGGTGCTGCTGATGCTGATGGTCCAGGGACCACACTTTGAGTAGCAAGGCCCTAGTGGGGGTGCTTCTCAGCCCTGGCTCAGATTAGAGTCACTTGGGGGAACTAAAAATAAAATTCCAGCCTACCCCATGCCGCAAATTCTGATTCAGTAGGTCTAGGGTGGGGTCCTGCATCAGCATGGTTTAAAAACCTCCCCAGGGGATACTAAGGTACAGCCAGGGCTAAGAACTCCTGCCCTAGTGGATCTGGTTGGATGCTCCACAGCACCCTGCACGGATGTAGAGCAGGTGGGGCCTGCAGAAAGATTACAGACACCCTCAGGAGAGGCCAGAGATCCAAAGAGAGAATTCTGCCCTCTGTCGTCTGTCCGGCAGCTGTGGAGAGTGAAATCAGCTAGCCAAGAGCAAACGAAGGGCAGGCTGGCAGGCAGGCAGGCCATCCGCTTGGGCTAAGCTGTCCCTCCCTGTGCCAGGTGCTTTTTGCAGAACCGTGGGGAGCAAGACAGGGAGCACAGAGGAGGCAGCAGCCAGCAGCCAGCTGCTCTCGGAATAGGAGGCCTAGCGCTCACGTAGGAAAAACCAACACACCAAGGACAGGCAGGTTTGACCGTGTGAAGGGCAGATGGGTAGTGGCAGTCCACAAGGTATGGTTTGCAAGGCATGGGACAGCCTCAGTACCGCCCACCTTCCCAGTGATGCCATTAGGGCAGGAGTCACTCCTGGAGGTGAACACTGCCTCCTCTCATGAGGGTCCTCGAAACTGCAGAGATTTCTAGGAGGAAGAACTTGTGAAGACCCTAACTCTTGGCTGCCACGGGCCACAGGCCAAAAGTAAGTTATCTTTAGTCTTCACAGCAACCCCGCGGAGTTAGTAGTATCACCCGCACCTTATAGACGAGGACACTAGTGTTCAGAAGTTATGCAGTTTGCCTAAAGCAGCAGGGCCTGTAGCACGGGGTTTGTCATGGTCTTTGTCATGCTCCTCCTTCATGCAGGTGTGATGGGAAAGGTTGGGAGCAGAAGTGCACGAGGTCTGGAGGTGGTCAGAGTTGAGGGGCAGCGGCTGAAGAAGCCCGCTACAGCTTTTCCTGGTGCCAACCCCATGCCGCAGCCATGATAAGCACAGGATGAACCTCGCTGAGCCAGCACTCCCTGCCCCCAGATGCTGTGGAGTGGAGGGGGAGGGGCTGCAGGGACCATAGGCAAGGGCAGGCCTAGCATGGGGGTGGCAAAAGCATCGTCACTAATCTCTATTTGCTGACAACTCTTGATAACAACAGTCGATGACAACAAACCTGTCCAAAAATAGCAATGTTGCCTTGGCCCTCCCTCAGTGCCTCCTTAATCTGAAACCCATCATCTGTCAAATGACTGAAAAGGAGAAATTGCTCATCTGTCACTTATGTAACTAGCTGTCACATTCCCATAACAGTGGGGCTCCGGTTTAGGACCCCTCGGAGCCCTAGTTGCTAAGCCCTCGACTTCTATTTCTAAATGGAGCAGCTCTCAGCTCTCCCTCCCAGGATTAGCAGATGGAGATGCCCCAAAGTTTAGCTGCCTGAGCTAAGAAGATCAGAAAAGGAAGGGACCTAAGAGATCATTATGTGCCCATGCAGAGATTGGTAAAAAACGTATCTTCTACCCAACTCTGATTCATTGGTAGTGACTTCTGGAGACACTGTGTAGAGAAGGATTCTGAGGTCTCATCTGGTTAGCGGGAAAGGGTCCTGTGATTCCTTAGCAGTGTCTGACATGGATGCAGATTAGCGAGGACCCCAAACGGGCCAGGTGTTAGTAGTGTGACACAATGCCAATCTCTAATCTCTCTGAGCTGTAGCTTCCTCATGTGTCAATGGGCAATAATAACGGCCCCTTGCTTAATGGCACTCTCAGGAGGTGCAAATGATGTCAGCCACATGCAACTATTGTGTAGTGGTAAATTTCACGTTGTTTTCTTTCCTCGCATTGCTGCATTTGACTTCTCAAGGGAAAATTCCCAGCCTGCTAGATGTGAGCTCCTACAGTGGGTATTCTTTAAAAGCTTCCTGAACATTGTATCGAGCCCTATGTTCAGTATACTTGGGGTGGGGAGGAAGCTGGTGGCTGTGTTGCACAAAGGAAGGCCCCTGATCTGCATATGTAAGACATGGCTGGTCATCTACTGGGAGTGTTGTGTCAGGGGACAGGAGAGAGAAAGGCAGGAAGCTAAGTAGGGGGAAAGCGCCCCATGGGCTATAGAACTTGAGAGAAGGAGGGAAAGGTCATGGAGGCAAAATAGAAAAGGGAGGATGGGAATGTGGGCTCTAGACTCCGGGGCTGCACACCCCTGGAACTGTACCTGTCCCAGTTGGAGAGCTGGCTCTGGTTGGCGGCCATCAGCAGGATGTCGTCAATCTCATCCTCGATGCGGAAGGGGTGCTGCGAGGTGGGCTCGTCCTCGGGGCATGAGTAGGGGCTCATGTAGGGGTGCTGCAGCCCCATCTCGGCTGTGAGGCGATCCATGGGGTTAAAGGTCAGGATCTTCTCGAGAAAGTCAATGGCTGTGGGGAGTAAAGCAGGACATGAAGGTCATTTGTTGCCCCTGCCAAGCTGAGAATGAGGCTCCTCAGCGTGGTGATGTTCCCTGGTGTTTGTACTTTTCCATTGGTAAAAAGGGTTTTAGCCATTTTCTTTCTCATGATCCTCACAACAATCCAGTGACAAATTCAGAGCTGATGCTGCTTTTTTGACTTCACAAAAGAATTAATAGAGGCCCAGGGGGATAAAGGGTCTGGCTTAAGGTCGCCATAGGTTACAGGGGTCCAGGGGTCTGCCTTAGGCTGGATTTCTCCAGAGACAAGGGTTAGGGGGGAAGGTAGTTTATGTGGCAGTGATCGCAGGAAGCACCAGTAGAGGAGGGGAAAGAAGCTGATGGAAGATGAACCAATGAGCAGATGCCTCCTTGGGGCTCAGTACCATTGGGGTCTTCCAGGGGACAGCATGAGACACACCTCCAAGATGGTTCCACTTGGGTGGGGAAGCTGGGGTATTTCTCCACCCCTCCTGTTTGTCACAGGTTGAGTGCTGTGCAGGAGCCAGCAGTAAGGAGCCTCAGTGGGAAAGGCCACTGTGGAGGTGGGTGAGCAGGACAGGGCCCGACAGCCCAGAGATCTTCCTGCCATATGCTATCCCTGGAGGTCTGACAAACAAAGGCGGGCAGGCTTGATCTTCAACATAGTTAACCACCAGGCTGAAGCCCCTCTGCTGTTCTAGGCAGTGACCTTTAGCGGCCAGGCCATAGGGAGGTCCTGGGCAGCTGGAACCTGGGGACAGGAAGGGACACTTGGAAGCCCTGTGCAGTGGCTATTTGCCAACCAGCATGAAGGTATATCAAGATGTCAGCAGCCAGTAGGGCATTATGGGGGTGTATTGGCTGAACATCTGCTGTGCACACAGGTCCTGGTGCCCTTTTTCCTAAGCAGGAGTAGGGGCACCCATCTGCCCTGTGAGCTGGGCCTTGGGTTATCTCAGGGCAAGGTCTAGCCTGGAACTTTGTATTAGTTCTCAGCGCTGGAGGCTCCACTAAAATCATGACTTGGCTAATCAGGTTACAGCCCATGTGGAAAGGGAGGAATGCCCCTGAGCTCCAGGCCCAGGCTGCTGTCCCCTCAGAGGGGCTCCCGGTGGGCCTCAGCCCGTGCCATTACCCTGCCCCTCACACTAGTCTTGGATCTCTTTGCAGGAAATTCATCTGTTTCAGGAAATTGATGGATTCAGAAGGTCACTGGCCTCCCAGGAGGATGCGGTGCTGCTCTGTAACCTTAGACCAAAAGATCGGTTAGGCAGCTGTAACTCTGATCACCCCCAAATGCTCTGGGGGCTCAGGGGATGCTTCTGGGCCCAGAGCTGCAGACCTGAAGGAGGATCAGCCTCACAAATTCTCAGGACTGGGGAGAATCGGGCACTCTGGTGCATGGCCCAGCTCTGCGCTACCCAGCTCCAGGCTGGGCAAGCCTTTCCTCTTTGGGCCCCTGGCCCCTCCCTCAGCTCCATCTATTACACTGGACCTTTTACAAGGAAATGAGACAGTTAAAAGCTCTAAACGTTGGCAGGCATCATCACCATTATCATCATTATTAAAAAAGACCCAGGGAACCCTGAAGTTGGAAAGTGCCAGTCCCGAAGGCCACTCCACGGATTCTAGTAAGGATGAGAATCTCCTCTCTCCTCTCCCTGACAGCTGGTCCTCTCGCAGGTACCCAGACACTTCTGGGAATATTAGAAATCCTGCCTTATATCAAACCTAAATCTGCCCCCTTGAACTTCCACCCCTGAGCCTAGCCCTCCCTCTGTGGTCCCCCAATGACCATGTTCTCTCTGCCCCATGACTGCCCCTCTCATGTTTCAAGGCAGCAGCCATACCCCATGCAAGCCCCCTTTCCTCCTGGCCCACAGCTGGCCTATAGCTCCCAGCCTCCCCTGCAGTTAGGTGTGGCTGGGTGACTGGAGCCAGTGGAACAGGGGGAAGTGACATGTGCAGCCCGCTTCCAGGCTCGACCTATAAAGAATCCTGCAAGAGTGTCTGCTCTCTCTGCCTCTGGCTTCAGCTGGGAGTTGGTGCCCAGGGGGACCTTGGAAGCCATGTGTTGAAGATGGCGGATGGCCTGAGTCCCAGCCATGGCCCTCTGGCTCCCCGACTCTGTCTGGCCTTGAGTAGAGCAGTGACCCACTGCTGGGGGCGGGGAGCCGTGCAGACTTGAGGTTTATCTGCTGCAGCTTTAGCTTTACCTTAACTCATAAACCACGCCCCCCAACTCCTTTTCTCTAGTTCAACCTCCCTAGATGTTTCTAAGGTGCTTCTAGCATATTGAGGCTTCTGTGCAATCTTGTCACCTTCCTGTGGCCTAGTGGATTCCAGACTGGACTCCTCAGAGCCTAGGGGTCCTGGAAAGACTCTCAGGGGCATCTCTGGAGATGGAGAGGCAGGTGGGCAGGGTCCTGAGCCCCTCAACCCTGCTTCACCCCGAGCTCTCCTGTGACCTGTTCCGTATATTAGGTCTCCTCATCGGGTTTGTCACTGGTTCTGTATTTACTTCTTATAGTAGACGGAGATCAGAACTGAGTGCCCCAGTGCAGTCTCAGGGCCTGCTCCCTTGTCCTGCGCCTGTGGCGTCATGGCTGTCTTGGCTGCTGAGGGACCAGTCCACCTGGACCACGTCGTTTGAGCCTCTGAGGGCTTCAGCCAGACACCTGCTTGCCTCTCACCAGGCCCGCGGGGCATCAAATATGCAGTGGGGGAGTGAACTGAGGGTCACCAGCTGGCTCTTCTGGGCAGAGGGGCTTAATGCCCTCTCTCCTGCTGATATTTCATTTCAGTGCCACCTCATTACCCTAAGGCTGGAGGCTGATTGAGGCCACTTTTCAAGGCCAGAGGCCAATCAGAAAATGTTGGTGGCAGCTGGCACATTGGGAGGGTGAAGCAAGCCTGGCGTTAGAGAACATCTGCTCAGCTACAGGATCGAGTCCACACTCACCAGCTGGGCCTCTCGGCCCTTCTCACCTGTCCAGCTTCACGTCCTACAATCAGGTTTGTGACTTGTCCTGTTGATCTGAGCCCTCACCACTCCACTAGGGCAGCTCCCTGTGCCTGTCAGTGCTTGGGGGCTCTCTTCCCCTCTCCAAATGCCTGGAGCTCTCGCTGGCCCCTCAGGATGTGCTCCTTAACCTTCATACTCATCTCTGATGGGCGTTCCCTATCTTCCCAGCTAGACCATCTCTTAGGCCTCTTTGAATTTCCAAACCTAGCACAGTTCTCTAGCCACAGTGGCTGAATAAATGTTGGCTGATGCTGGTGATGACAGTGAGGAGCTTTATCTTCCACCTGGCACTAATTCTGATTTCATCGAGACAAGGCCCACCACTCTCAGAGCCAAGTCACCAAGGGGCTGCTATGTGTGTGGTTGCTTGGGGGAAGGGACATGGGTGACACATCCTTGATCCAGAATTCCTAAGAGTTGAATACGCCTCTTGTCATGGTGGGATTTCTACAGAGGCCTGGGAATCAAAGTAAATATGGATGGGCTGAGTCTTAATTTGTGGTGAATCAAATTACCCCTCTTCCCCTTTAATGATGGGCAAACTGAGGCAGTTTACTGATTGAATGGGGATCATGGCCAAAGACATTGTTAGTCCAAGTTTTTGGTTTCTTGATGGGGAGGAGGGTGGCAGAAACTGCTAGTTGTACCCTATGTCTGTTCTCTTTCACAATAATGGACACAAAGTATCATTGAATAAATATCCACTTCGCAGCTTCCACTGCAGTGAGGTGGGGCCATGTGACTAGGTTCTGGCCAACAGGACGTGAATGGAGGTGAGGTGTACAAATTCTGGCTCACAACCTTAAGGGCAAGGGGAACGCCCCCCTTCCCCACCTTTCTCCAGGGGGTAGGGGCAGCACCCTAAGATGGCAGAATGACAAGATAGAAGGGGCTTGGGCCCCTGGACGACTTTGTAGGGCAGGTCCACCATATTGGCCCTGGACTGTCTGCTTTTGGATTATTATATGAGAGAGAAGTAAACTTCTTTTTTCTTTTTTTTTTTTTTTAGTTTTTTTGTTTGTTTGTTCGTTTTTTTTGAGGAAGATTAGCTCTGAGCTAACATCTGCCACCAAATACTCCTCTTTTTTGCTGAGGAAGACTGGCCCTGAGTGAACATCGTGCTCATCTTCCTCTACTTTATATGTGGGACACCTGCCACAGCATGGCTTGACAAATGGTGTGTTATGTCCACGCCTGGGATCCAAACCAGTAAACTCTGGGCCACCGAAGCAGAATGTGAAAACTTAACTGTTGCACCACCGGGCTGGCCCCTCTTTTTTCTTAAATATGAAATAAATGTTATTTAAGTCATTGTGGATTTGGGTCTCTCTTATAGTTGGCTGAACCTATATCCTACCTAACATGGGGATTTCATAAGGAAGCCTCTGGCAGGTTTGAGGCCCACTCATAACATAATGTCTAAGATAGATGGAGCAACTATCCTATGCCAAGAGCTTTAAAAATACTATTCTAGGGGTTGGCCCCGTGGCCGAGTGGTTAAGTTCACGCACTCTGCTGCAGGCAGCCCAGTGTTTCGTTGGTTTGAATCCTGGGCGCGGACATGGCGCTGCTCATCAAACCACGCTGAGGCAGTGTCCCACATGCCACAACTAGAAGGACCCACAACGAAGAATATACAACTATGGACCGGGCCTCTTTGGGGAGAAAAAGGAAAAAATAAAATCTTTAAAAAAAAAATCCTATTCTACTTACTCGTCACAACGACACTATGTGACATATATTATTGCACTCATTTTACAGTCAAGCAAACTGAGATACAGAGAAGTTAAGAAACTTGCCCAAGGCCAAATAGCTAGTCACTGGTGGAACTGGGCATTGAGGCTGGGTCTGGCTTTCAAGCTGATAAAGCTCATGTTCTCTGCACCACACCATGCCTTCCAAGCGCAAAACAGTAAAGGGAGATGAAGGAGGAAGGCAAATGAGGAAGACAAGAAAGAAAAGGAAGAAAATTCAGGGTTGATTTCAATTAGGGTATAATTTGCAACCAGTAAAATGCATAAATCTTAAGTGTTCAGGTCAATGACGTTTTTGAACCCCTGGAACTACCATCACACTGAAGATATCAAATATTTCCGTCACCCCCGGAAGTTTCCTCATGTCTCAGCCAAGCCAACCTCCACGTCAACCTTCCAGAGGGACCACTCTGAGAATATGGAGGACACTGATGACTGCCTCCAGAGTTGCCTGATGGCCGAACCCAAGGCCAGTCATCCTCAGCGTGAAGCAGCTGGGACAAATGCCACTGCCAGGGAGCCTCAGCTTCTGCATCCGGGGACTATGACTGGTCTTTTTGGAAGGAGACCACCTGCCCCCACTCCCCTGAGGTGAAGCCAGAGCGCTGCCTCCAGACGCTGGCCTGGCTGTCAGGCTCAGGTACCTTCGCTGTTCACTTCGGGGAGCAGCTTGCGCAGCGGCCTCTTCACCTCCCAGGTGCTGCTGACGAAGGAAGGCATCACCCTGAGCAGCTCATCCTTGTCCTCCTCCCGGATCACAGGGATGGTCTCCAGGATAAGCTGCATCTGCTCCAGCTCGTGTGCCCCTGGGGAGGGAACACCAGACGGTCAAGCATGCTGCCCAAGTGGCTGCAGTGTACGGAAGCCCCAAAGTGGCTCCAGGAGCCTGGGAAGCGCAACACAGAATAGTGGGAGCAGCAGTAGGCTGGGAGCCAGGGGCCCTGGGTTCCTGTCTTCACTCTGCCACTAACTTGCTGTGTGACTGTGGGCAGGCTGCTTGCTGTCTTTGAGGCCTGGCTTGGTCACATGTCTCTGCCTCTGGAATGGACCACTCTGACATAGACTGAGTCAGCTAGCGCTAAGGTGATGGGAACAGCCTGGCCCAAGGCTTTCGAAGGCCCCTTCCCATATGCCTCTCTGCCTGTTCTTTACCAGGCTGGGGATGGAAATGATTTTAAGGCTAGGAATGAGCCTTAGTTTTTGATCTCCAATTAGGAGGATTCCAATTAGGAGGAAAAAAATCAGAAATAAGAAATTGGGTTTGGAATGAATCTTGAACACAGTACCTCTGTGCTCCTTTGGGCAGAGGGAGGAAGACAGGCTATGCCAGGTCTGTGGGAGAAGTGTGGCGGGACAGCATGGAGCCAAGCATTCATTCACGCCTTCAGTCACTCATTCATTTATTCATTCAACAAATAATTATTTGTGGAGCACCTTCTCCCTGCCAGGCATCATGGTGGATGCGGGAAATGGACACTGTTCTCATCCCTAAGAGGCTTCAGTCTCTATGTGTCTCGGAAACTAACTCATCAAGGGCCAGCTTGGTGGTGTAGTGGTTAAGTTCACGCACTCCACTACGGGGGCCAGGGGTTTGCCGGTTTAGATCCTGACCTATATACCACTCATCAAGCCACGCTGTGGCGGTATCCCCATAGAAGAATTAGAAGAACTTAGATTAGGATATACAACTATGGACTGGGGCTTTGGAGAGGAAAAAAAAAGAAGAGGAAGATTGGCAACAGATGTTAGCTCAGGGCCAATCGTCCCCACCCAAAAGGAAAGAAGGAAAGAAACGAAGGTAGGAAGGGAGGAGGGACAGAGGGAGGGAGGGAGGGAGGAAGGAAGGGAGGAAGGAATAAACTAACTCATCTTCTACACCCAGGCAATCATTGACCGCTGGGTCAGGCTTTGGCACCACGGGTGTGGCTCAGGTCTGTGTCCTTGCTGCCCTCTCTGACTCCCAGGCTGTTCTGACTTCCACTTTTCCTTCCATTTTCCCTTGAGTAGCTTTCTACTTACCTCTCCTAGGATAAATCCAGCCAAGCCTCTCCCTGTTCCAGCTGCATGGAGGGCCTCCCCTTACTACCGTTCCCCATGGATTCTAGTCTTCCAGAAGCTGGTGGCCTAGGCTGGGGCTCTTCCGTGTCCCCCAAGGATGCCATGTGTGGCACTAAGCATATGTGAGTGCTGTGCACGCTGCCCCAGCAAGTGCCTACAGCAGCAGGGTCTGCTCTGACGGGAGAGGAGGAGAGGCCTGAGACTGGAGAGGCCTCTGCGCAAGCTGCTCCCCGAAGGTCCCTTTGGCCTCTCCCTGCATTGGGCTCATGGAGGGTCAGTTCAGGGACCCCCTGGGTCCCCTCTCCAAATGAGCACTCCAGACCAACCATTCACAGTGGCAGGGAGCGAGGAGGAAGGGGCTGAAAACGTAGGGTGGGTGTTTTCAGAGGTTAATCTCAAAGTGTTGGAATGCAAGTGATTACTTGATTTTGAAAGTTCTGTGCTCAAAAGGCTCTTTTCAGCCTCTCTAGTATTTTGTCTGAAATGAGAATAGGCAGTGCCATAAAAGCCACAGGGGTAATTTCAAAGAGAAAGGCTAGTATATTTTGGGATTAGCATGTTTTTTGCAGTCAGTTCTCCCTTTTTATAGAAGGACACCAGAGGAGAAGGGAGGTGGCACCGTCAGCAACTTACCTGCAAAGAGCATTCTCCCCGTGAGCATCTCGGCCAGGATGCAGCCGGCGGCCCACATGTCGATGGCTTTGGTGTAGTTGTTGGGGGAGAGGAGCAGGCGAGGTGAGCGGTACCACTTCGTTACCAACCCTTCTGACAGATGACCCTGGAAGATGAAATCCCCGGTTCCAAAGATCAGCCCTTTGCAGGTACCCTCCCTCCCATGCATCTTCTCGTTTCCCTTCACACGGAGACAGGACGCCTTTCACGATCCCCTTCAGCCTCTGTCCTTGCCTGGAAGAAGCATTAGGGAACAGAGGTCTGGTTTGTGGGGCTCAAAGTTTTGGTGGGGGAATCTATGAGGCCCTGGAGTTCTCCTCTGGATCCAGGATACCAATATTCTAAAAGGATGATTTCCCATCCCAACTTGATGTGACTATGCAGAACAAATCTGCCCTCATCGACAAGTAAGATGGATAAATAGGAGCCACACTCAAGTTTATTACCACCATCAACAGAGTAATGATGAGACACTGGAATTTCACTTATCCGGTGGCTGAATCTCAGAAATAGCCATACATTTGACATCAAGCCAGTTGCTTTGGTGCTGATGATTAGAATTAATGCTGCTACAATGCCAGACACCAAGCTCCTGGCGAGAACAGACAAGGCCAGCTTCAAAATGGGTGTAGGTGAAGGGTGTTATGGAAGCACCTCAGAATGACACAGTGGACACAGCTTTGGTCGGCTCAGAGGATTCTGGCATTCTACAGAGGGTCTTTTTGGAGGACAGATGTTCTAGCTGATTTCAGCCACTGCTCAATGACTTGGTCTGGATGGACTCCCTTACTATGGGATAGCGTGATGACACAGGTGTTTTAGCACAGATAGGAAGTTTAGCCAGGCAATTTGGAAATTGTTCTCTACGCAATTCAGAAATCTGGCCCAACAGTGAAACCTGGGAAATGTCCATTTGGGTTACCTGGAACAGTCTCTCTAAAGTGAGAAAACACCCGTGTTGAGTCAAGGTGAGACAGTTCAGACCAAGGGGATCCCATGCAAGATTCTAGGGATGGTCTTGTTATTTGCTGATGCAATTCCTGTTAGCATCCGAATTCTCCTTTGTACTAATGTAAAAAATATCACAGACCCAAGCTGAGACACGAAAAGTTAGGAAGCCTAAGGACCCAGGGGTTTTTGATCGATTAATCTGAAATCTCTTTATTTGTTGAGCAAAAATTTATGAAGTGTTTAAAACCTTCTGAGAGCCCCACAACTATGACAGCAGGTTCTCTTCTCTGGGACACATATTTCTTCAGAGTAGGCCCTCAAACGGGTGAAGGAAGGAGGAAAAGAGGAAAAAACTCCTTAGCTGGAAATGACTACACATACCCATTGCCTGGCCTCAAAGCTCCAACCAAAATGAACTCCTTACAGTTTTCTAAATGTGCCCCTCTTTCTCTCTGGGCATCTGCCTGTGTCCATTCCATGGACGGATGTCCTCACGCCCACACACTACCTGACTGACCCACACTCAGGCTGGCTTCTTCTCAAAAGCTTCCCAACTCTGGCATGAGGCTGATGCCCCTCGCAGGGGCTCCATGGTCCCTGTTTTCTTACTGTTTCTTTACTTCTCTGCAGTCCCCCACTGCCTAGGACCACTAGACTATACCCCCTCATGGGCGGCAGCTGTATCTTGTTCCACAGCCATTTCTGATTTGCCAAGTCTCAAGTCTGCCTCCTAGGAAGTGTTCAGTTAACACTGTCGAGTGAATGAATGAATGAATGTGTAAGGAAGGTCTCCTGTGGTCTGAACTTCCTTCAAAATGAGGCATCTTCTATGGGCTGGCCCCATGGCCCAGTGGTTAAAGTTCTGCACACTCCACTTTGGCGGCCCTGGGTTCATGAGTTTGGATCCTGGGTGTGGATCTACTCATCAGCCACACTGTGGAGGCATCCCACATACAAAGTAGAGGAAGATTGGTTTAGATGTTAGCTCAGGGCTACTCTTCCTCAGCAAAAAAAGAGGAGGATTGGCAATAGATGTTAGCTCAGGATGAATCTTCCTGACAAAAAAAAAAAAAAAAAAAAAAGAGGCATCTTCTGCAGGGACCACTGACATCCTCTTCTTTGACATACTTGACTTTATGGAGAGTTCCAATTCCCACTTTCAAAGGCAGGTGAGGAATTTACAAAAGTTAACAGCCACTTATGCCTTGCCTTGTTCCAAAAAGGATTGGCAAGTATAAGTAACTTTTTTAAAGTCAGTTTTGTTAAGGTATAATTTACATACAGTAAAATTCACCCTTTTTAGTGTACAGATCTATGAGTTTTGACAAAAATATAGAATCAGCTAACCACCATCACAATCAAGGTATATAACAATTCCATCATCTCAACAATTCCCTTGTGCCTCCTTCTGGTCACCCCTCCACCCCCTGCCCCCCAGCAACCACTGTTTTCTGTCCCTTTAGTTTTGCCTGGTACAGAATGTCATAGAAATGGAATCACAGTATGTAGCCTTCTGAGTCTAAATTCCTCCACTTAGCATAATGCATCCAGACTCATCCATGTTGTTGCATGTACAGTAGTTTGTTAGGAGTTGAAGTTTGATTCCAAAAATTAAAGGGACAAGCCAAACTGTCTGTAGAGTTCACTTCTGGGTGGGTGGGGGGGGTTATAAATAAAGAATGGTCTGATCTTATTTTCCAGTTGGAGGCTGAGACTGTCAGAGGAAGACTAAAGCAGAGTATCCAGAGGGAAGGTGACATAAGGGGAGTTTTCTCTGAAATATAGATGAGCAGTCTTTGATGGAATGGAATTCCCTATAACTGACACTTGTCTGTCTGCAGCATCTAGGACTAAAGTGGGGACGCAGGGGGCTTCCTTCTGAAACACCTGCCCTGAAAGTAAAAGAAAGATGTTCTCATGGGCAAGGCTACCTCTGGAATTATGGGCGAGGCCATGAGAGCAGCTGGGAAAGTTCACGCTGGCTTTTCTTTACCTTTGAATGAAAACCAAGAACCTGCTGGATTTTTGTTAACCACTAGCAGCTCCCCTATGGTTACTCATCCCTCGAGCTCTTTCGAAAACATAGAGGATTTAGTGACGTGTTTCAGAAGCCATGGGGCAGAGGAGAATTTGGGAAGATGTGGTGTCTTCTGCCAGGCTCTGCAGCAAGAGGAGCCCTGAGGAAGGAGGGTTGGGAACAAATGGGAGGCTCCATTCCTGGGTCTGTGGGGTGGGGAGGCCAGGAGTCCTGCCCTCAGCTGAGATAAGCCCTGGGTGTCTGAGCGGGAGAGGCTCTGGGGCTCACAACACAGTACTGGTGATCTGCATTCAAGAGAGGAGTTTCAGTTGAGTGGATGGAGTGAAAGTCAGAATTTTCTAGAATAATAAAAAAAATCTTTAAGGAATACACAGGAGTCGAGTCTTCATTTTATCAGAAGGGCACATAAATCGGCAAGTGTATTGGCTCAACAGAAACCCTTAAATGGCTTTCCTGCCCGAGCCTGCAGTGTGAGCATAGTTTCAGCTCCATTTGCATATAGAGGAACCTGTCCTCAGTGGTCAGACCCGGTCTCCCTGGGGGGCTCGCCCATCGGCAGGCTGACAGAGGAGGGAATGGGTGGGATGGCAGGCACATGCATGGCGCAATGTCATGTGAGCTGTAAGGCATCACTGCTCTGAGGAGACAGGATGCCTGCAATTCTCCGTGGCCACCTCTCAGCATGCAAGTGAGACTGGAATTGCCCTTTCCCCAGTGTCCCTTCCTCCTGCCATCCTGTCCCTTGGTGTTCCAGGTAAGAAGCCAACTCTGGAGGCCCCACTGGAAGGCAGCTGGACACGGTTTCCTGTCGAGACCCTGTCACGGGGGCCTTTAGGTCTTCTTCAGTGATTGCTCCAACCAGCCCATTTTGCTGTCCTTTTAGAGTCACGTAGAGCCAAGGGGAGGCTTTGACTCTGAAAGCTTCAGAGGTGTTTGGGAAATAATCTAGCAGCAGCTGCCCTGGGAAGAGGGTAATTAGGGGCCCCAACTGATCCAGAGGGAAGGCATTATTAAAGCTCTGAGCATTCTCTTTGCAGAGGGAGCAGGGAAGTGTGGACTCAGTCCCAGCTGCCTGCCAGGGAATTCAGAACTGCCTCCCTCAAACTCAACCTGGAGGGGTGGGCACCCATGTGCTCCTCTGGCGAGCCAGCACTGAGTGGGCTCCAGTTCTGTTCTGGTTGCCTTCACTATGCCTCCACTTGCCCTGAGCCTGATCTCTTGGGTCTGGGAGTCTGAAGGCTGGAAGAGAAGGTATGATCCAATAAGCCATCTACTCTTTAATGATAACATGCTTGCTGGCCCCTCCCAGGATTAGGGTGAATTTAAATGTGAACAACATTCTCCCAAAAATAAAAGCCCAGTCAACTGTAGCTCTGTGCGTGTGGTGGGGGGGATTACAGGGTGGGAAGGGTTGTTTCACCCTTCATACTGAATGGATGCTTCCAGGCCTGGATGGTGTGGGGCTCTGACAGTCTCACCTTCCCAAGCAGAAGTCTCTAGCATATGTCCTGGGAGCCCAACATGTGTCATCCTGTCACCAGCCATACACTCTGACCTATTTCTCTTGTTTTGCTGAGAAGTAGACGTGCGTCCTTGAGGTTGTCAGTTTCAGGTATGTTCCAGGAAGATCTAAACACCAACCACCTTAAACTGGACCAAAACCCCACTGCCAGAGTGATGGCTGTGCACATGGGCAGAGAAGTGTACAAGAGTAACCTTTGCTTCATTAACATAGTAAAATCCCTGCCCGGGGGGAGCTATACCACAGTTTTAGGCACAAGTAGGTGTGAACAGCAACTGTGCCTGCACCAGCTTTGCCCTGCCTCCACAGGCCATGACAGAACTCTCCTTTTGAATATTCATTTCCCACCCAAACTCCCCTTTTGAATATTCATTCCCTACCTCAAATAAAAGGCACCTGCTTCCCCTTGCTCAGGGAGCCACAACTTTGTGAAATATTCCCTGTAGGCTCCTTATTTGCTGCAAATAAAATTTTACTTTGTGTGACAACTACTTCTGGTGAAGACTTTGATTTTAACTCACCAAGAAGCAGACCCACACTGGTCCAGTAAAAATCCCTGTGTGGCAGAAACGAAGATGATTAAGATCATCCCTGT